TATTCTATTAGAACTCAATGATTATCCTAATTATATTTTAGATTTTTTATATTTAAAATGAGATGTTTATCCTGTATTTGATTGTGTTTATCTGCAGTCAGTTACACGGATTCAGATATGAGATGAAATTAGATAGGGATGAAATTATTTAAGGATGAACAGGTTTAAGAGTTTTTAAGAGTTTTAAGAGTTTTTGTCCAATGATTTATAAGATAGTATAGATAAATATATTTTAATATGTTTTAATATAAATAAACATATTTTAATATAAAGAAACATATTTATTATTATTATTATTATATTATTATAAGGATAGGAAAAGCAAGCGCCCCCAAAAATAAATAGCGAAGAAACAATGCTACTATTCTATGCTATGTAATCATAAGATGGTGTCCTCAAAATCAAACTTTTATGCTTCATTGTCGGACGCTATATTATATGGCAATTATTTATTTTTATAATTTTATATATAGAGAGGGTGGAGTTGCAGAAAGAAGGGTAAAAAGAGATCTTTATTATTGGATCAGTCATAATTCAATATCAACATTAATGAGATGTACTATAATATAGGATTGGGTTCAGTGAGAAAAGTATCAAGGGATATTTATCATTGGATCATTTCTAATTGAAGAGCTCCATTAGATCAACGATAATGAGAAACACTAGATCAATTCTCTTCTAAATCGTAATTTATGAGTTGGTTTGAGATTAAAAGTGATCAAGGGTCCAAATTTCTTTTTACACTTCTCACCTTAACTCTTATTCTCACACGATTCTTCGTCTATATGTATAAAGGTTTCTTCAGTTGTTAACAAAAAAATTAGTGTTAACTATGTGAACCAATCTTTGCCTTTAATTTATGTAATCTATGGATTAAGATAATCAGTGAAAGTATTGTAATAAAGTAAAAACTGATGCCTGTTAAACATAAGTGAATAATAGTCAACAAGGATAATTCTTGAAAGACCAGGGAGACTTCGTTTAGGCATCAATGTTGTTCCTGATAATCACTCCATTAAACATGAAAATTTGTGATGTAACAGTCCGTTAAATATGGAAGTTTGTGATGCAACTTTTGAACATTGAAATAAAAATGTATCTTGATGCATTGCACGAATACTTTTCTAGTATATTTTAACATGTTTATCAATTAATTATCAGTTAGTTTATATAATTACAGAAAAATAATATTTTAATTTCATATTTGAAATGGATCTTTTTTTTTTATAAAAAGATGATGTTAATCTACATTTTATGATGATAAGAAATGTAATTATAATATATATATATATATATATATATATAATCATGATTAAATATTTTATTAAAAAAAACTGAAATTGGAACATTAAATATTAAAGATGTAAATAATTCATTGGTGAAAATGGAAATATAAAATTGAATGCATGGTGTAAGAGTATCATTCTCCCTTTACAACTTTTGAGATTTGGGTTATTTCTTTGATATGGACAATTGGACATTACCATCACTATTTCCCTTTTCTTTATGTCAAATCCTTTTCTTCTAAACCTATATATATATATATACACAGAGTGAAAGCTTGGTTCAAATACTAATTAATTATTCTATATATATATATATATATATATAGGGTTGAGTTGGCTTCTATAAATGTTTATTTTTTATGAAAGATGTAACTTTCACATAATATAAGGTGGTATTTACATAATATATGTAAAGATACTGTAATATTAAGTGAAGGTGTTTCAAGATATGCACTTTCACAAAAACTGGTGAAAATATACATTTAGGTCTAGTCGTCTTCACCGCATTTACAAAATATGACGTACATTTATACCATATAAAGATACCTTCACCACTTCTTACATTTT